TGTCTTGATTGTTAACATTTAAAGACCTGGACACTGAAGGGCTATCCATGACAGGAAAAGTACCTTTTTTTTTATCACACACGTAGAACAGTTAGCAAACTGAACGGAACAAAAAGACGTCTTCTCTTTGTACCATTCCTAAACATTAAAGGGAACGATCTCAATCCAATTTTTCTTTTTTTTTTGTTAGAGTAATACTGATACCAGTATCAGATATTGGTCCAATAGTGTACTTGTTCTACTAATTGTAAAATGTGTAATGCACGTATTAGCACTCTTGCCTGCACTTTGCATCAACAAGTACTCAAATGTAAGCACTTGTCCTTTTGCTTGGCTTAAGTAAACGTGACATTGGTGCATTCCTCTTCTTTGTGGTTGTGAAATCTGTTTTGTGATCCTACACATGTCATTTTCTTGGCCATTTCTTCCTGTTTAGAAAGTTAGGACCATATTTACACATCTTACAAAGACATAAGGCAATCACTTCCTCTTTGCCTGAATCGCATCATTCAAAGTCATCTGAAGCTCGCTGCAAATTAAAACTAAAAGCAATAAGGACCGTCCCCTCCCGCCGCAATTTTTAAAAACTATTTTAAACGCTGATTGTCTACATTAACAATAAAAAAATCCTAGAACATGAGTAATCATGGCGGGATGTAAACAGTGTGATAATTCATCTGGCTTGTACCTTGAAAGGTACTGGACCCTGTGTGAGATCTGAGTAAGTACTTCCATACGTGAGATGGAGGCGGAGTGAGGTAGTCCACAAGAGAACTGAAGGGGAGTATGAACCTTTCCGAGTGCTGGTTCTTCCTGTTAGACAGTGGTTTGATCGATAAGCTTCATTTTACAGTTCTGGTTGTTTTGTTACAGTTGAGAATTTTCTGATTTGGCAGGAAGAAGCTGCTGAATTAGCTTCAGCGACAACTCGCTGTTGAGTCGCTGTCGAATTAAATTTTACTTTCGGAAAGTTTTCTGGAATTTGTCACACCCCAGGCGAATTTTCGTTCATTTTTCCGAGGGCCAAAGCACTTCATAAGCATCAAACCAGTCAATTTCACTTTTTTTTAAACTGTGCGCCCTCTGAGCTCCTCAGACGATGCGATAATCAAACGTGTCCTTCTCAGTGTGGTCTGTCCAGTTGGACGAGGGCATACTGCGGTAAGGGTCCAGCAGAATGCGGAAGCAGCGCACTATGAGCAGGGCCAGGAAGATGAAGAGCAGCAGCACGAAGACGAAGGCGGCCTTCTGCTCCAGCGTCAGGTAGGGAGCATCGTGATGGCCGCCTCCCGAGTAGGACTGCGTGTGGCTGAAGTGGCCCTCGACCATCCTGGGCACGTCCATGCTTGATCGTCTGGGCTCCAGCTCTTTTTCTTTTGTTGGAAGATTTCTGGGAGGAAGAAGTTCAGAGGACTGGACCTGTGCAAAAAAACAAACAAAAAAACAAAACAAAACAGATGTATTAGGAGTCATGTCTCAGGGGTTTGCTGCTGAAAAATTAATTTTAGATGAAATCAACAAAGCAATCATTTGTCTTCGATCAGAACAAATTTCCTCCTCAGTCTATTTTTAGATTTCCTGGCACAAAGCCCACTCAGTAAGTAACTAAGTCTCGAGGGAGTTCTTTGGTCATGAACTGAAAAAGCTCAGAGGGTTTAAAGTGGCACTCTGGAGTTCAAGTTATGCAACATTTGCTGGAGATAATAGTACTCCTGAGGTAGTTGAGTCTCTCGCATCATTATACAGCCTGATATGGGGAAAGTTCCAACCCTGTCCTCTCTGAGTTTGTTTCATACGTGTCAAGCTGCACCAGCAATTTAAATCTGCTAGAAACATTTCCTCCAAGCACAGTCATGCATAAAGAAAACTGAATTTCTCTACAGATGATGAACATAAATTAACCATGGTAGGTACACAACAGGTAGATGATGGAGAGACTACGAAGCAAATTCTTTAAACTACTTTAGGATCATTTGCTACAAAGTTTTATTGCAAATGTTTACTCCAAATACGTGTGGAAACCCTGCTTCCTCAACTAAATATTCTGTCCTTTTTACTTTTAAAACCCGGCTTCATGAACTAGGGACGTACAATATATCGAAAATCTATCGTCACTGCGATAACAGCCTGGGATAACAGCCAGTTTTTTGCATATTACAAAAAACTGCATAAACTGCAATAAATGGTTGGCTCATAAGTTTGCATTTCTGAGTTCTGTCATTCAGATGGAAGATTGAAGTATTTCACCAATCAAATTGAGCCCTTCACGTATTTGGCCAACTGGATAGATCTCTTCATATTTTTAAGAAATTTATATATATACAGTGGTTTGCAAAAGTATTCATACCCCTTGAACTTTTCCATATTTTGTCACATTACAACCACAAACATAAATAT